TATACGCTGGGAACTGTGGAAATAGGAGTCGGCGCATGTAGAGCTCTTCTTCCACTACTCGACTTTCTTCGACCCGATCCCGACTGAGTGTCCAGTGATGCAAGAGAAGCCAGAGAAGACTTCCTAGAAAGTTTTGGTGTCCGCACGTCAAAGTCCAGGATATCCGCGAAGTCTTCCGCCTTGTTACCTTTCCGTAGTAGTTGAGTCCCCCCCTCTTCCTCATTCTCTTTCGCTCTCTGTAATGCATCATAAGTTGCCCCTACCTGGGTTAGATACGACTTGAATTCCGAAGGGTCGACATGGGGTAGGTTTGTGAGAGTCACTGGGGGTATATCTCGAGCAGTCGGAGGTTTATGCGCACTCGATGCGGGGGCAGAGGTGTGGGGAATGAGACCGGTTCGAACGATCGGTGGTTGGAGTAAAGTAGATATAGCTTGAATTTGTTAGTCTCTTGGTTTCCCCGTCCATTCTCAAAACATACCGTTCTGTCCGGATTCATTGAACCCGTGCCATTGTGAGACTGAATCCAACGTCCCCCCTATCGAGTGTATTGAGCTAGCTGTTGACCCGCGCCTTGGATAAAGTCTGCTATTGGAGGAACCTGGTCTGCCAGTCATCAGCATTTTGATCTCACTTGATTCTGAGTTGCGCAACAAACCTTGGGAAAGGATATTCATTCCGACCTCCAGGAGAAGTAGGGGAAAGATTCTCCACAGAAAACCGCGATGCCGGGGAATGATCCATGATTCTAATTATGTATTGATCACCATACAACGAGCCTCAACCTCCCCCACAGCCGCGCAATCCCAATCTATAACCGGCAACAACAGAGAAGCGAATTAAAAAGTGGCCAAGAGAAGCCTTCCTTCAAACTACTTAATACAGGCCACGGAGGCGCATTCGTAAGCTACCTAGGTATTTAGCAGTCAACACGAATTTGTTGACAAACCAATCGTTATGGGGGTATCATTGCTGGTAAAAGGAAAGCTGAGGGGAAGACTATATCAAAATTGTCATATCGTAGAAGCGTATAAGTTGCATATTCACTAATTCATTGATTGTTCCATTTGTACGAAGGTTCATTGATGTTTCCGTTCTTTCAGCCTTCCGTTGATACAACGATATTCATTGTTATCATTTGATTGGTCTATCGGGATGGTGAGGCTGGGTCTCGAGGCTAGAGCTGGTGAGGTTTAAACTGTGGCTAGTGAGCATTTCCATGCACCTGCAACCACTTTACACGAATCGGTCGCGTTCCAAAAAGGAGAAACGCGTCTTATCAAAAACCTCAGGATCTGCCCACTTAGCAACAGCAGGACAACAGATCAAATATCAATACTGCCAATAGCCCCGCAATTTCATATTCAACACCACCAAAATATACTGACAACAAGATGGATCGTCAATCTGTATTTTCTCTGAGTGTTTTACCACCTGAGTATGGCGACAATGAAGATACAAGAGGTCAAGTGCAATCTCAACTAGAACAATTTCTTCTTCAGTTCCGCATTGACAATGCCTTCATCTACAGGTAGGAAGCAATTCACTGTCTACGATGTCCTGCTAATAAATCCATACAGAGATCAAATCCGAGAAAATGTTCTGTTAAAACAATACTTCTGCGACGTTGATGTTGGGCATTTGATATCCTTTAATGAAGAGCTTGCACACCGACTTGCGACAGAACCTGCAGAGATTATACCCCTTGTAACAAACCCCTCCAAAGTATCGCAAGCTATGTCTAACACATACACAGTTCGAAAGCGCATTGAAGAAATGTACACACCGAATCGTATACCCCTCGGATAGAGACATTGTCCTTCCCGAACATCAACTCCTCCTTCACTCCACAGCTTCGGAGATTTCGATTCGCGATCTGGACGCCCTCGCCATATCCCGACTTGTACGAGTACCAGGTATCGTTATAGGAGCATCAGTACTGTCCTCGAAAGCAACAGCACTAAATATACAATGTCGGAATTGTCGCTCTACAAAGATATTACCAGTAAATGGCGGGTTTTCTGGTGTTTCATTGCCCAGAATCTGCGATAGACAAAAGATGCCTGGAGATCCACCTTGTCCCATGGATCCGTATGTGGTTGTTCATGAGTCTTCCCAATTCGTTGATCAACAAATTATTAAGCTTCAGGAAGCTCCAGATCAGGTCCCTGTGGGAGAACTACCACGACATGTTCTTATTTCAACTGATAGATATTTGACGAATAGAGTGGTACCTGGTACGAGATGTATGATCACTGGCATCTTTTCTATTTATCAAAATAAGAACACGAAAGGCTCTTCTACGACTTCGGCTGTTGCCATTCGAACTCCTTACTTGAGGGCGGTTGGGATACATAGCGATGTCGACCACACTGCAAAAGGAAATGCAGTATTCTCGGAAGAGGAAGAACAAGAATTTCTCGAAATGTCACGGAGGCCTGATCTTTACAGTGTATTTGCTTCCTGCATTGCCCCATCTATTTACGGTAACCAGGATATCAAAAAGGCTATAGCATGTCTCCTGTTAGGTGGATCCAAAAAAATACTTCCTGATGGTATGAAACTCCGTGGTGATATAAACGTTCTTCTTCTCGGTGATCCTGGAACCGCCAAATCCCAACTCTTAAAATTCGTCGAAAAGGTCGCTCCAATCGCTATTTATACTTCTGGAAAAGGTTCCTCGGCCGCTGGTCTTACCGCCTCCGTTCAACGTGATCACTCAACCCGAGAATTCTACCTCGAAGGAGGAGCTATGGTTCTTGCGGATGGAGGTGTAGTATGTATCGATGAGTTTGATAAAATGCGTGACGAAGATCGAGTAGCCATTCACGAAGCTATGGAACAACAAACTATTTCGATAGCTAAAGCGGGCATTACCACAATTCTCAATGCACGAACTTCGGTTCTCGCTGCAGCCAATCCTATTTTCGGACGTTATGACGATCTCAAATCACCAGGCGAGAACATCGATTTCCAAACCACAATTTTGTCGCGTTTCGATATGATCTTTATTGTGAAGGATGAGCACGAGAGAGGCAAAGATGAGAAAATGGCAAGGCACGTTATGAATGTTCACATGGGTGGTAGAGGAAGGGAAGAACAAGCCGAGTCTGAGATTACAGTTGAAAAGATGAAGAGATACATCAGCTACTGTAAATCGTACGTATTACTCCTAAGAACTGATCCCCTATATGACTAGCACACAAAAAACTGATAGCGCGCAGTCGTTGCGCTCCACGTCTCTCCCCAGAAGCCTCAGAAAAGCTCTCTTCCCACTTCGTCTCCATCCGCAAACAAGTCCACGCCACCGAAATGACAACCAACGAACGCTCATCCATCCCCATCACAGTCCGTCAACTCGAAGCCATCATCCGTATCACCGAATCCCTTGCCAAAATCTCCCTCTCCCCCATCGCGCACGAACATCACGTCGACGAAGCCATCCGTCTCTTCCTCGCATCTACCATGGACGCCGTCCAACAAGGTGTCGCGCAACAAGGAAGTCGCGAGCTCCAAGACGAAGTCGCACGATTGGAAGAAGAATTGAAGAAGCGATTGCCCGTCGGCTGGAGCACTTCTCTCGCAACCCTCAAGCGGGAAATGTGCGAGGGAAGAGGCTTTAGCGAGATGAGCCTCGAGAGGGCTTTGGTCGTACTGCAGAGAAGAGATACAATTGCTATTAGAGGACAAGGTAGTCAGGTTTACAGGAGCGGCGCTTAGGGTTAACGTTGTGAGCGTGATATTTGATGTCTACATGAATGGATACCTTTGCGTTTGGCGTTTGGACGAAAGAAGAAAGAAGGAAGGAAAGAAAGAACCTTGGAATATGATGTTATTTAACGAATGCATTGGATGCGAAAAAGCGACATCTCTAGTGTCATACCTATCCACCTACTAGGTAGGTAGTCTCTAGTAATCATATCATGATCAACACCAAGCACCCCTGCTAAGTTGACTTTATTCATCATTTATGAAATTTCCACCACCCGCAAAAGCTACCATTACAACCGATATTCCTCCTGGAACAAAGAACAATCCCATCCCATCAAATCAAATCAACCAACTAACTCCTCACTTACATCAAACAAGAGAATACCCACACACCACACATCAACCACACCCTAAAGTAATCATCCATCTCCTTCCCACCGAAACAAAAAATTCCCTTCCTCAATACTTGCACACAAATTCATTACTTCTAGTATCTCCCTAGCGGGCCTAGGTACTTGCTACCAAAAACTACCTACACCACTCTACACTACGCTACGCTACACTACTTCTATACATAAATTCACCATCCCATCCCATCCTACTGTTTTTTTCTTTTTTCCTTCTCATCATTTACACCTCGCTTACACCTTACTCACTTCCTCTCATTCTAGATATATGCTACTCAATTCAGCTTCATTCATCACCTTAATAGCCAACTCATATAATTCAAAGCCTACCTATGTTATCACTTCGCCCATCGTTATTTGAAAAACTTCGACCTCACTCCCTAGCCTTTTTATTTTACCTATGTACAGCTGTGCTACATGTAGACTCTCTGATACGGGGAGCTCGTCGGAAACTTCCAGTAATGGGACAGCAAAGTAATCGTCAATCATCATTCTTAATTGTGAATACAATGACATCTAGTCACAATATCAAGAAGTATTTCAGGTTTGAAGTTCAAAATTTCATTTGTATTATTTCTTTGTATGAAGTAAAGATTCATTGTATTTGAACAACTATAGTATATGTACATGAGAATTGAATTTTGTATTATCGAGGACGTGACATGAGCAATATGAGCAACTTTGTTTTGAGTTCCAAAAAGATCTGATCCGCCGATAGCTAAAGAAAAGAAAAAGGGAAATGGGAAGCGTGTTAGCCATACCCGTGAAAATGATTGTGTCCTTTACTCCTCCGCCCCCCTTCTAGATGCCCTATCTAGATACTAGTGATCTCGTTATCATTAAAATTTTCCCCGAGATAAGAAATGGTCATGATCATGAAGCCTACAACAAGAAGGCTGCGATACCAACAACAACAATAGCACCGAAACTAGCATCAATCTTCATGGCAGCACCAGTGAATTCAGCTGGACTGGTTGCGGTAGCAGTGCCGACAGCAGCAGGTGTGGAGGCTAAGGTGGTAGCTTGGGAGGGAGTTGCAACTGGAACGCTAGCCACTGGAACGCTGGCAGCTGGAGTCTCTTGGACTGGAACGCTGGCAATTGGAACGCTAGCGACTGGAGTCTCGTGAACTGGGACAGTGGCAACTGGAACGCTGGCGACTGGAGTCTCTTGGACTGGAACGCTGGCAATTGGAACGCTAGCGACTGGAGTCTCGTGAACTGGGACAGTGGCAACTGGAACACTGGCGACTGGAGTCTCTTGGACTGGAACGCTGGCAATTGGAACGCTGGCAGCTGGAGTCTCTTGGACTGGAACGCTAGCAACCGGAACACTAGCAACTGGTGTTTCGTGAACTGGAACGCTAGCGACCGGGGTCTCATGAACTGGGACAGTGGCAACTGGAACACTGGCAACTGGAGTCTCATGGACAGGTACACTAGCAACTGGTGTTTCGTGAACAGGAACGCTGGCAACCGGAGTCTCATAGACTGGCACAGTAGCAACTGGAACGCTGGTAACTGATGTCTCATGAATTGGAGTGCCAACGGAAACAGTGATAACTGGAATGGTGACCGTTCCTGGAGCAGTGATTGTATGAGGGACTGAGCTGACAATGATTGTAGTTGGCGCAGGGCAGTATGTAGTCAAGTAAGACACGGTAATAGTGCTTGGAGTTGGCTTGACGGAAGGAACTGGTGTCTCGTGAACCGGAGTTCCAACAGAAACTGAAACAACTGGAATGGTGACCGTTCCTGGGGCAGTGATTGTATGAGGGACTGAGCTGACAATGATTGTAGTTGGCGCAGGGCAGTATGTAGTCAAGTAAGACACGGTAATAGTGCTTGGAGTTGGCTTGACGGAAGGAACTGGTGTCTCGTGAACCGGAGTTCCAACAGAAACTGAAACAACTGGAATGGTGACCGTTCCTGGGGCAGTGATTGTATGAGGGACTGAGCTGACAATGATTGTAGTTGGCGCAGGGCAGTATGTAGTCAAGTAAGACACGGTAATAGTGCTTGGAGTTGGCTTGACAGAAGGAACTGATATAAAATACACGGGTGTTCCCACAGAAGCAGAAACAACTGGGACAGTGACGTTTCCTGGAGCAGTAATCGTGTGAGGAATCGAGCTGATAGTGAGTGTCGTTGGTCTGGGCACATATGTAGTCAAGTAAGATACAGTGGTACTAGTGTTTGGCTTGGCAGTTGGAACACTTGAGGTGTAACTGACTGTGCAAGGGCTATTAAGATAGAGTTAGTAGGGCTGAAATACATCAAATGAGAAGAACAGCACGTACCACTTTGTGACAGTCAATGTTGTGGCTGATGAGACGGTGTAAGTAAAGTTACCAATGGCAACGGTGGTGGGAGATGGGCAATAAGTGGTGTAGCTGCTGACAACTGTGGTAGTCCAGACGACTGGTGTAGTCTTTGGTGAGCTTGAAGAAGTGGAGAATGTGTAGTTTCCATGAGGAGGAACAACGACAGTAGTCTTTGGTGGCGCTGAATAAGTAGAAGATGTCACATTGCCATGAGGAGGAACAATGACGGTGGTCTTTGGTGTAGCACTGGTTTTGACACTGCTCTCGCTGGAGGATGGTTTGGTTGACACCGAGGTGCTTGATGGGTGTGGCTTGCTAACGGTGCAAGGGCAGTCGGTAATGGTCAAAGTAGTTGAATCAGTGACAGTGTATGTCTTGGTTCCAAAAGTTAATGTAGTTGGAGTAGGGCAAACGGTTGTAAGAATGTCTGTGGTGTAAGTGGTCCATGTTGTGTGCTCGGTCTCTGTTGGCTTGACAGGCTTTGTGGTTGGCCCAGTACTAAGAGGAACAGTTGGATGGCTGATGGCAACCGAGGAAGCGCTGCTGGTAACACTCGATGAAGCTGGAACAGATGGAGCAGAGCTACTTGGTTTGGTTGACGAGGAAGCTGGAACAGTTGGAACCGTCTTGTCAATGGTGGTGGAATATGTGCAAGGGCTAGATTATTACGTCAGTATTTTGATCAAGGCTTTCTCAACTTGATGGGTCAAAGGAACGTACCAGTCAGTGATAGTCAGGGTAGTAGAAGCGGTTGCGGTATAAGTCTTCGTTCCCATGGAGAAAGTAGTGGGGTATGGGCAGACGGTTGTATAGATATCAGTAGTGATAGTCTGGAAGAGAAGGGGTGTCAGCACATGCCATCTGGTGGGGCAGGGAATATCAACTGATATCAATGAAGCATCAGAGGAGACTAACCGTATACGCGATATGGGTATCGTTGGTGTACTTTTGACCGTTGACCACGGCAAGAAGCCCAAAGGCTGTGAGAATCGATTGAAACGTCTTCATGATTTCTTGTTTTCTCCTCAACGACTGTAATTGTATTGATTACAATAACGAAAGTGGGATGATATTAAGATATTATGTTGATGGAGGGGGAGGGGGAGGTTGAAAGATGAGATTGATGTAACAAAACCTGAACGAGTGTGGTTATTGTTGATGTGTGACTTGAGGGAAGAGAAAAAAAGGAAGATGAAGATGGGATGTAGAGTTCATTAAGTAGTTGGTGAACATCTATGCAAGTACTAGGTAGGCAGGTACGAGTTGCATGCATGCGTTAGTGTTATTTTCTTTTTATTTCTTCTTTCCATCTTTTTTTTTTTTTTTTTTTTTTTCACTTCACTCCAACATTTAGTCACTCGGGACAGTATTATGTCAAAGGTGAAGTCTGGGACTAAATCGGTAGGTAGGAAGGTCGGTAGGAGTGAAAAGTTACCTACCTAGTATGGAGGCGTGAAGTAGTGTAGGTAGTAGGCAAGTACTATGAATGTGTGAATGTGTGAATGTGTGAATGGGGAAAGAACGACCGTCTCCCTCGCCTCGCTTTCCTTTGCCTACTGCAGTTTTCCGTATTTGCGCCATGTTCAGAGTCTTTGGCAAAGTCCCACCGTCACCTTTCAAGAATCATCCAATGGAAGCATTTGCCGTGTGATACTACATACTGCTATGTTGTGCTATCCGGGTATCAAGGTATCAATCTTCAAGCTTCAGACCTTTGACTCGACCACTCACTACTCACTACTCACTACTCACTACCCACTACTCATTACTCACTACTCACCACTTGGGAATAAGTTTTAACCTTCCACTTTTAACTTTGGATCTAATCTTTACGAGCTTCGATCCTCCACAGATGAAGAAGTGACTACTGCACATGCTGCATGCACCTACTGGCTTGGTAATGCATCTACAAGTGGCTGTACTTGGATCATGAATGAGAATGATGAGGGTGAAAATGGAAAGGAACATAGGGATGAAAATCAAAATACTTTGGATTCTTAGGACAGTGAGTTGTGTGGAAACGTCGTACATACGCTCCAATCGGATATCAGTGGACTGCCGACTACTCCAACTAGATAACGAGTAGCTTTGATTATCGTTCATTCGATGTCGTCCAAGACAAGAAAAGAAAAGACTCCAAGTGCGGAATACGATGGAATGGGTTGATACGATGATATGATTATGATGATGGCCGGGATGGTATAAAAAAAATGACACCAGTAAAAAGAAAGACTGAAATCGTTCTTCCGGATTCCGCACCATGTCTCATTCGACTTTTTGCTCGCCCACTACTCTGCGTTGGATGTTCTTTCCACTTTTCCCCCGACTTCCAAAGTTAATTTTCCCGCACTTGCTCATCCACTCACACGCCCCGATCTGCGTCATTGGTGAGCCTGATCGATAGGAAATCTATTTTGATCCGAAGGTTCAGTCCAACACGAGAAACTTCCAACTCCCAAGCATTTGGAGAAAAGAAAGTCGTTTACTCAGCTACTTGATACTTTACGCCTATGATTATCTGGTTAGAGGATGGAACGACTTCTACGTCCCAATTCTTACTTTAGGAGTTATCCCGAAAGTTGCACCCTTTTCATTCGTTGACAGCGTAGTACCTGAGCGTTTCTCGTGCTTTCCATCATCGCCTGGCCAATCGCTGCGATGATGTCTACTCAATAGCTTCACATGTTCCTGACTACTTGCGACCGTCATCGCTACTGATATGATGGACAATGTTTTGATGGCAATAGCGTGAGCTTGACGCGGGCCTTTACACGTTTACACGTTGAAAGGTGGTTGGACTTTCTCGGCCATGACTTGATTGGGTTTGTTCTTAGGTCGCGCCCTTTTCCCTTCTTCTTAGACTTCAGGTCCCAATATTCCAAGTGCCCTGGGTAGGTTAGGTAATAGCCATCAATGCGAAAAGACCAAATGTATGCTTAAGCACAAGTTACAACTTACAAGTACGATAAGAGGATGATGGGTGCTTCTAGGATAATGGGGAACTTGAACAACTGGTTGCTGGAATGAGAGAAGATGAAAATCTTGTTAGATCGTTATCCTCCCCCGGTAACAATTAGCGGGAAAGCTTGTCTCTATCTCGTGTTGTGGTGTGGTGTGGTGCCCGTTTGCTGGAATCAGCACTCCGATAAGCTATTGTCTCCAGCAGAACGGAAACCCCGGGACGCCAAAAATATACCTACATACACTCTTTTCAATATCCGATATCAATTCAGACCATCATTTCTTTGATGAAAAATACCAAGCTCTCATAGATTACCTATATGGTACATGTTATTTCTTATTTTCATTACATTATACATTGACATTGTAGTGAGGAAACCAAATATATTACATGTTTTCAATGTGTGAATCTAGCTAATAAGTGATTGAGTGATCGTCTTTTCTTCATCCATGTGGAGCCTGTGTGACCTCCACAATCATTCATTTGCCAAGCACGTTACCTACTAAGAAATCGTGGATGTGAGAATACGAGGAGATAGTGAAGTACCATTAATCCTAACGAATTAGGCAATTGCTGAGTTCAACATACTAATCTACTAATCTTTTCCTGTCAAGCGTCAAGCATCATGCAAGAAGAAGTGTCAACACAGTATGTCATCGTTGTCGTTGGCTTGCTAATGCAATGTTATCGATAGATGCATTCGCCATAAAGATGGAGACATGAAGTGGGTTTGGTGACATGGGGAGCACAAGGTCGGAAGTTCACGTAGGGCTGGAGAAGCTTGAAGAGCAAAACTTCCTCCTAAACATTCAGTAAAGCGTTTAATTAGAGTATTGAAGGGATTTCAACGACACCTCTCACTGCTTCCAGACCACACACTCGGCTCAACCTTATAGAAAGAGTGAAGATCTTTCCAAGTACCCGAACCTAGATCACACTCTTTACATGGATCGAGCCGAACCACCGCAAGATTTTGATTCTGACGTCAAGTGTGTATATTTTGGTGGACACTTCCATACTGATTGATTTTCGGTCCGACATAAGTCACTTAACAATGATAACATGAAGATCAGAACGAATGACAACAGCGAGTGCAAAAAGCCCAGAGTTGCTCTCGGACGACATTCAACATTGGTCCAAGAATATCCGCCATCGGGATTGATGCTAAGTCGATTCGCTCCTAGGAAACCAATAAACTATCGTTGTTCATCGGGAACGGCCCACATCACCTATTCTGGTAAGATCTTGGCTTGATAATCAGCCTACAGTAAATGTTGGTCGGTGGTAAGTAGGAATACGACACGATCATGCTATACAAGAACATATGTGGCGAGCCGTCAGCGAACAGCGGATACAATCATCTACTGTGGTCCCATCTTTGGAAAATGGAAAAAACTATCAGTCCAATGGTTGTCTTGTCGATTTAGAAAAAATTCCATACTTTTGTCTTCACATGTCTTCGAATGTCTTCAAGTACGAGGCGGGAGGTTGAAAAGGTAACACCTTCGCTGCCGACTCCGGTATACGAACTACCATCCATGATACCCATGATCCAGCCTCGACATCTCGAAAATTTCGAGCCGTAGAATGGTTCCGTATTACGCGTTTCCTCCCAAATCTAAAGCTTCCTCTTTCAAAGACTTCGAGCCCTTCTAATACGTTCAGTACAACGCCGTTGGCCCTACATTACGCGTTCACACGAGGACGGCATTCGTCCACGTTCTAAACTTCACATGCAGTCACACAACCTATGTTAATGTCTAATATTATCACAGATTTGAGCCATACCACCATACAAATTGCAATCCCTCACACAGCCATGTGATTGAGCACAGTATGGAGAAACCATCACCTTTACGCTGCACACAAACTTCCTGTCAAAACCTCGGCACGATGATTTTCTCGCAGGCTCTAAAGCATTTTGAATCTCTCAAACACACCATTAGGTACTTCTTCAAGTCTTTCCAGGCCTATATGATGACCATTCTGATTACATTTCCAATGCTGTAAGCCTACAACTACCGGTATTGTATTGAATTCTCAACAATCCAGAGCCCAGAGTCCAGACTCTTTGTGGGCGCAGCAATGAACCCTCAGCACGGCCTGTATATTCAAGAACGGTGTTTGTGATTGTCGATCCCGACTTGCAGTGCTAGATTTATGCACCTCGTCGGCTTAACATAAATTATCAGCACAAATGTCTCCATATTTACTCATTAACAGGGTAAAGGAGAGACTTTGAAAAGTTTGCTCCTTAGAGTTTTCATCCTTCTTAATTCGTGGTAGTCCCATTGTCATGGAAGCTCACTCGGAACCTTCCATCTGGTTAATAAGCTCGCCGACAAGCTTCTAGGTCAAACATAAATCCGTCTCACACTTTTCTCGTTGTGGGATTTTTTTCTTCACTCAGGTCCGCATTATGTGACGTATACTGGGGCGTGAGGGCGAGAAGATCTTTGCACATCTTTTCATCTAGATTCTATGGCAGTCGATGAAGGAGAAATGAATCCAGAATATCTGTACGAGACTCCGATAGGTCTGGGATAGAGTCGTTCACCGAGTTCCCAAATCAGTTCCTCAGTCCGTATTAGACTCGTATATTCACATGAACGAAATGAAGCATGTCTACATCCACGTCTCCGTGATTTAGCCACCTGAGGTCACACAGGTAAGCGAATCATATCCGGCCATTACCCATATGCTTCAATCTGTCACCAACCAAAGTTATCAAACTTATCTCCTTCACATGCGAGTTTGCAAAAAGAAAAAACCGGATGCCCAAAAGCGGTGTATTCCTTCACATTTAACCCAAAGGTACGGCAAGAACCTCCGTTCAAGAACACAACCAGACTCCAGCAAGGCAGCATGGCAAAATCTAGATCATGAATCGCTACTTTCCCCGGGGATCCTACTGTAACTCAATCCGAGTGGTTGTTTCTGTGGAAAACCTTACTCAGCAATTGGAAATTATGATAGACAGTTCATGGTTTCATCGCTTAATCTACCACATGTCGAGCCCCGCTATTACGCCGGTGCTCTGGTTTGAGACTTTGAGAATAGTTTAGTTGTTGATCTCTCCATGGCTGTTTATTATTTCGGATTTCTGAGGTTGCCATACGGACTGTTTCTGAGATATAGAGCATGAATTGGGGGTTACTCTTTTCTTTACTCTACTCTGTCTACTCAGTACTGTACGCTTGTGAGAGAAGTACTATGTAGGGTTGGTATTGTATCAAATGAAGTCAGGGGATTCAGGTAAGCAAAGAGGTGCGTATGTTGTGATCGACGTAATGATCGAGTGATGCGTGGGATTTAAATCAATAAACGTGGGAATTTATTGAATAATCCTCATGCCTTATGGATAATATGGAATTGAGTTTTACAGGTCACACAATAGATTCGTGGCAGTCGGTCACTCGAGAAGTTGGATGGTCAATTAGACAAAAGAGATTTCTCGGTTTTTGAATTTTTTTCTCAGCCCCTGGTGCAGGCCCTAAATGCAGGCCTAAATGCATGGGCGTCCGATTCCTTGCGGGTTCCTGGGACTACTGCAAGGGCAAGCGAACCCTTATGGATACTCACATGTATTTCTTCCATAGGGATTGCTGTTCTATGGCGCAATGTGTAAAGAGTTCTTGCGGGATTTATATGATTATTCGATGCAATTAATAATTGGAGTACAGGATGTCAAAAACTTGCAACTCACATGAAGGTGACTAAAATTCTGCATTTTACACGACATGTGCACTGTGCAGGCACTGCTGTAACACATATGTAAGTTGCAGCAGCTCTTCTCATCCGCCAATCTACTCCAAGTCATCCATAATAATTGAAACAGTGAACAGACTTTTCTATACGGCTCATCCTTGCTAACCGCACACTTCCGCTGCCATCCTAGATGATATCAGGTGAATATCGTCCCCGCTATTGAATTGCCCCCCCTTTTGCACGATATAGGCAGACCTTGTAATGATGTTGTCCAGACAGACTTTCAAAGCTACAAGGTTACAAAGGTCGAGAACAATTGGGACATTAGTTTATTGTTCGTGTGACAGTGTTTACCCACTCCAAGTTTTCAACGACTCCGTGATTTTTGAACAATCTCGATTCCGTGATTTACCCATTGCCATGGTATTACGACATCTCCTTGGTCAAATGCTTCGATATGCTGAAATCTCTGATTGCGAGGTAACGACTCCACGAAGTAATATATCGATATTTGCATCAGCCATTCATATCATGACTGGCCACTGCAGGAAAACCCCTTCACGGAATCAATTTTCCAAGCACAAACACGGATAGTTTGACAAATGACTCAAGTTCCAAGAAATTGGGGTCTAGAATACCTTCCCCATCATATCATTTTCGTTGAAGAGGAAAACACTGGCATCAAGAGTTGCTATTACAGATATGAATCATGGAAACAAATATCATAAAGTTCATTGGCTGCTTGGATTACAAAGACATTCTCCACATAGAGACAACCACCGAATAAACTTTCGAGTTTCCGCTACGCATGCCCTACGCATCGGCTGCCGTTCAGATTCAGGAACAAAAGTCAACGATCCAATCAAAGCGTAGTCGCATCAATCCATTGACTCCATTCTTCCCACCAAAGGAAAATTCTCAATCCCGCCAAGTCTAGTTCTCCCGAGTCTCAGATGCCAGTAGCTTCCTCATAGGGTTTGGTGGCGTGTTTACGAATTGTGTCTGGCGTGGCCGCCCTCCAATAGCGGAATGTGGACAGTGTACGGAGTATGCACCCTGAGAAGAAGCAAACGTTCTGGATGCATTTTGTTTATTCGGTTCCAATTGAACTACTTCTGGCTGACATGACTCCACAATTGCCGTAGCTTGGGCTGAGCAAGCCTGAGCTAAAGCGTACATGTCCGCGCTGGCGTTTTTGGGGTTGAATCATGGAACCTTAGTCGTGTCCCCTGAATTCACACTCAGTTGTCTGTGTATATAATCCGCTGTACCTCCACTTGTGTTTCTTTCTTTTCCTCATCCACGACGTTGTCAACAAGAGTTCACTCATTCCTTTAAGTTACTCAAACGTTTCGATCTGAGATCGCACTTGACTTTTCAGTCACTTCACAGCTTCTACAGTCAGCTCAACAGCAAAACTTGTCTCTACGACACCAGAACTTTTCAGTCTTGACGACTTTGACAATCTCGATTCATATATTCGATCCAAAACTCTCATTGCCCAAAGAAGCAACCAGTTTAAATTGACCAACTTGAAGTAAAGCCCAGTCTTACTTTACCCCGACCAATCCTTACCAACTTAAAAGCTTACACAAACACATCACTCAAGATGCAATTCGCTACTTCCATCCTTGCTGTTTCCGCAGCTCTCGCTACCATCGTTTCTGCCGGCAGCGTGCACTTCGTCAACCAAGACAGCACCACTCGTACCTTGGTCTTCACTCCTACCTCTGGCTGTGCTGAAATCGCTTCCCTTACCGTTTCAGGCGACTCTACTGCCAACCAAACCTTCCCTACCGGCTGGATTGGCAACTGGTACTCTGTCTCTGATGGCGCCGACAACACTTCTGGTATGCTTGGCGAAGTCTGCTTCGATTCTTGGGGAGGCATGACTTACTTCGATGTCTCTGCTATCGTCAACCCAGATGATGTCAATGGTGTCAAGGAGATGTTCCCCTTGAACACCGGTACTCCTCTCTCTGGCTGCCAATCCTTCCCTTGCGACAATGCTTACAACCTTCCCGACGACGTCCAAACCCAAGCTACCGATTCCGACGAACTCGTCTGCCTCATCGGTAACCTCGCCACCACCAAGCGTGAAGCCAGAGCCAAGGTCGGCAAAGAATTCGTCACTGGTGGGGGATCTGCTTAGATTCTTCAACGTAAAGTTCTTTCTTTGTTTTGGTTATGGAGAAGTTGCAAGAAGATGTATATACCAACCGGTCTCACACACCAACACATTACATACATTTACAGACATTTACATAAATACACACGAAAAGAAAAGAAACAATGTACGTCAGCGCCGCAAAGCGTGCTGCGATGTGGCATACGAAATTTATGATGGTTCTATCATGAGGATATATAAAAGGATACACGGACCGGACAGGACGAGACGGCACGGACCTCCTGATTGGACAGGTGGGACGGACGGCTTAGGGATTGGGTGGTGGTGTATTGGCGTGGGATTACCCTTTTTTATATTTTTGGGAAACCCTTTTTTGATTTTTGGAAACATTCTTATGATCTTTGGAAGCTTGTTTTTGATTCGTTTCGTTTCGATTCCTTCACTCGCGCTTTTATAGATTTTTTCTTCATATACCTGTCACTCACGACTTTCAAAGTTAGGTTTTTTTAGATGGTGGTTGAGGGGGTGATGTTACTTCTATTCTATCTATTCATCTCTTGGATTGGGATACAATTTAACTTCAAAAATCCCTTCTTTTGATCATATGATGTTTCCGTGTCAGCCTATGCTTTTTGTATGTGTGGAATTCGAATCAAATGAAATCAATCAAATGGAATCAACTCAACTCAAATCAAATAAAGTGAAACAACAAAGTCAAAACTCGACCTCTGTAACATAACCTTACCTAGTTACCCCACCAGTTCCAACATACTAGGTAGGTAGGTAGGTAGGTACTTCCAAACGCGAAAAGTGGGATAGGATAAGAATCACGAGATGAGATGAGATGAGATGGAGTGAAACGAGAAGGTACCGGGAGAAACCTGGAAGGAAGCTGTGATGTGAGTACCTATGAATCATTCTTTTTGAGAAACTGAGTTCTTGGATTGAGTTCTTGGATTGAGTACTTGGATTGAGTACTTGATTCCTTGATTGTATTTCACCCCGCTTCTTCGAGGCTCCGATGTGATGTGATTGATGCTTCTTGGCTGGTTGGTTGGTTGGTTGGTTGGTTGGTTAGTTCGTTTATTCGGAGTTTGGAGTTTGGAGTTTGGAGTTTGGGATATGGGATTCGGGATTTGGGACTTGGGACTTGGAGATTTCTATAACTGTTTATAAAGTATTTATTTACTCTATATTTTGTTTTGGGGGGGGGTGTTTTGTGATTTTCTGGTAATGTAGTAATTTGTTAGGTGATTAGGTGATTAGGTGATTGTCTAGGTGATTGTCTAGGTGATTGAGTAATTGTCTAAATAACTGGCTTAGAAATTAGTACGAGAGATATGGAGATGAAGATGGAGATGGAGATACGAGCTCTGCACTACAATACGAAAGAGAAAATAAATATGAGTTGATTGGTTCATTAACGTATTGTTGTTTATCCACTTGGTAATTAGTTGAGATACTTGGTAGAGGTGCGTGCTGAGGATACCATACCATACTAGGAGGGTACTGGGTACTAGGAGGGAGGAAGATGTCATTGCTGAATAAAAGATAGAGATAGAGATAGCAATAGAATTCAACATGTGTTCCGGTAGTGGCCTAGAATTTAGATTACGGTAACCTACCTTACTGTAGATTTATTGAGATATTTGATAGAAGGTTGGAAGTTTGTACCGAGGGGGCGGGAGTGCGGGAGTGTAAAGGGATGGATGCGGGATGGTTGTGGATGTGGCTGTGGCTGTGTGGATGATTTGTATTTGGATGGATAAATAGATGAACGATCTTGGAGATGTATAAATAGAATGATGGAATGGGTTGGATTGTATTGGATTTGGATGAGTATAGGGGGTTTGGATATGATATTCGGTTTGATACTCGAGATTCGAGCTTTATGATTGATTCTCTTTGGTATGTATATGAGTGAGTGTACGTAGTACGTAGTACGTACGGACAGACTGATGGAACATGACAAGAATCGAAATTATAATTAGCAATTTGCATCTTGGAATTATGGGAGTGATTTATATAGATGTAGATTGAATAATGGAATAATAGATTCTGAGATTGAAGAATTGAAGAATTGGAGAATGAATTTGTTATTAAATCTTGAAAATTGAGAAGTGTTCTGTTGGTTTACGTACTTGCTGATCTTACTGCTATTGAGGTTCTTCGTGATGTTAGATGGGAAGGATTTTGATAGCTTCAATTTACTTACTTGCTGATCATTGGGAATTGAACTTCTTTACAGTCTTGTGATTCTTAAATCTCTGTGAAGCCATTGACTGAGAGAAATTACCAGGGAATAAGATGCAGTTGGTTTAAATAGAGAAAAGCTCACACCATCTTGGAAGAGTCTCCACTGGGAGTCACATTTGGGTATGTTGGATAATGATTGCTGGAATATCTGGAGGGGAGAGGGAGATAGATCTTTTGTTTATTCGATTCATTTTGTTTCTCAATTAATAGGATCTGGATGTGATATCTGCGAAAGGAATTCTGTGCACTTAAGAAGAGTGAGGATTGTGTGGACATGGTGGATGTGGTAAGGGAGAGACGAGTAGAGGTAAAAAGGAGAAAGGAGAACAAACAGGAAGAGATAAATGAAGTGAGAATTCACTAGACAGGTCTACAGATAGTAACATGGTCGAGACGTGTTTAAAGAAAGATAGACCCCAATTGCACATTTCAATAACTCGGTCTGTCCAAACTCCACGCGCAATTCGTGTATCCCAGTGCTTGGTGGTAACTAGTACGCCAGCCATGGTAAACAGTCCTTCCGTCATCAAGATGATACCATTAAATAGATAAAAGAAAAATTGAATCCTCTACCTCTGCTTCGCGTTCTGTTGCCGCTCGGCGGAGGGGATCGTAGTATAAGTCACAGCGAGCGATAATCCGCTCATTCTCAGTAGCATAAGACATTCCAAGCTCACCATAACATGAACAAGTGCGCCCTTCAATACTCTGAAACCTAATAAGATCTTCCTCTCGTTCCCGCAGTATGTCTTCGAGGCCGCTGGATAAGTCGCTTTTGAGTTGCAATTTGTCCAATAGAATCCCCCAAGACAATTCTCTGCCGTAGCTGTACAAAGGGCATTAGCAATTGTGCAGATATGTGAAATACGGTAAGGTATTCTTAGATATATAATCCAAATTGAAAGTAGCGCGAAGACTTTGGGTAATCCAGTCAGCGGTGGCGGTGGGGCTCTGTTGTATTTCATTGCAAACAAATTTAGCTATATCTATGCCTAAATGTTTCAAAGCGGCCTTGAACCAGAAGAATGTTACTAATATGTGTAAAAGAAGTGTCGTTAACAATTTATACCCTGTTGCTCTGCTTTGGGATGCTGAGGGGTGGTAGAAGACAGTTCTGCTAAGAAGCTATGAACATCCATATTGTAACTCATCATGCAATGAATAAAATATATCTTATCAGATTCTCCGATTTTCCTTACGAGATATAGCCCTATAGATGGCGCGACCCAATCTTCTGTTATATCATGAGGACAAGAACGGAAGAGATGATCAATCATATCCAAGTCCTCGAGCTTCATTGTAAAAGTTAACGCAAATCGAAAATAGTCGCTTAAATGGGAAGTGAGATTCAACCGATCTAGAAGCAATCGAAGTAGTCCAATAAAGAAGCTTTCGGCGGGTTAGGCGCCGAGGACTGGCTACTAAACGCGTGCTGGTTGTGAGCCGACACAATCCTATGAATCTAGAAGAAGACGGATCCTCGCTGACTACGAACCGTTCGAGAAACATTCGGAGCACTTCGATACGAATATCGCAAGGCACCTGGACCCGATTTTCACTGTGTGAGAAGCCGAAGGGGACTCTGCCCTTTCCATAACCGTAAGTCCACGTTCCACATGCATATGACCCAAGATCACTATGATTAGATGTCAGACGTATGATCGCCCCAAACTCTCAATGACAACACAAGAAAATAAATTCGATTGACTCGTTTTGTATGTCTCGGAGCTCTACATCAGCTCCTTCATTGACGAGAAATTTACATGTTGATAATTGCCCAGTAGATGCTGCGAACTAGAAGAATACATTAGCATGAAATACGATAAGCCGCCCGAAGCTGTTTCGTAAATAATACAGGAGGGAGTTGCGCCGTTAGCAAAGTCTATGTAGATGATCGGCCAGCCCTAATAATCCGTGGTAAAATTGTATTCAAGCATGGAGGTAAGAAAGACGTACCATCAAAGGTGTTCTACCATATGAATCAGTATCACGTGGAGAAGCGAGACCTTCATCGAAGAGATATCGAATGGCATCTGTGCGTCCACCTCTACAGAGTCTGAAGATTGTCGAATCGTCTGCAATAGCTCTGTATGCTTTCAATTCGGGTTTGAAGGTTTTACCCGACTTCGAAAGAGCAATTCTGACACCCAGGCTGACACCACATAGTTGTAGCATACGAGAGGGATGCATGGTCAAATTTGTGCGCGACATATAAGTGTCGTCTGCGAACGATAAAGTAGTGATGTAGATATTAATGGTTCCAAAAGGTGTGTTAATTGTTGAAAGGCTGCGTTCTACATTGTCCAGAAAGACAGACTTTCTCCGTAGGCTTCTCTCAGTGGGGTTTGACAATGTAGAAAATGCTAAATCCATAGCTCTCTCAAAGCCGAGCCTCATGACAGGAATCTTGATGTTGCATGCAAGAGTTCAAGCTTCCACTTTTAGTGCATCGAAGTTTACGTTGCTGTCTGGCGGATCTCTTGATGTGGTTTCAACGATTTTCGGGGCCAATTCATGCAGACCGAGCTTAATTCCATCCAACATACTCATGAGCTACTGTTGAGATTTACAAGTTTGTATGGACAGAAGTCTAGATATGTCAGGAGCTTTCAAACACGCAATCGAGGAAGTACTGACCGAGAAGAATTTTGGCAAGCCAGGACCAAGGTCAGTTTCGCGCTGTTCAATCTCGACTGTAACCTCTGTAATTTCTCTATCTTTATAACTTCCTTCATAGCGCGCCATCTCTTGATCAACCCGGTGGTGTCTGTATTTGGGAATACGATTTCTTGACTTAGATAGTTGAGAGATTCAAGAACTTCAGAGCAAAGCCTCAGAGCCTCAGTCATCGAGTTAGTATGATGCACAAACTGGTTCCCCACAACCGTATATCATCAAGAACGCTTGATAAAGCACGTAAATCTTTGCATATCATTTGAACTTTATGAGGGGCTTCTTGGAGAGATTCCCAGAGTGCACAGGCTTTCTTGATAACATCTGCAAGCTGGATGGCAAAACCAACAACCGAGAGCACGCTCGACACTCCAGCAAGTACTTCCAAACTGTATAGTAAGTTTCGGAGTGATGCAACAATAGATATAGAAGTATTAGCCGCTCTTAGAACGGAAGGAATTCATGTCAAATTTCATAGTAACTGAAGTGAGCTGAAATTGCGACTAGGGATAGTAATGGTAAATGGGGAGATAGATCAGGCTTGGGGTAACGATCAGTGTAGTTTATGCATAGCCGCCTCCAATATGTTACCAGCCACTCATTTACCGATGAAAGTTGTGCAAGAGGAGGTTGAAGCAGGCATAGCCCATTTCTAAGTTGTTGTAGCTCACTCGAGCCCGCTTTGAAAGCAGTCAGATTTCTGCAGCAGATAATAAGGAGGAATCGACCTTGTCTATCTTATTGATCCCGTTCAATTTCAGCAGTTTAATGCTTGATAACGAGACAGAGATTCAAATTCCGATCTAGGTATGTAGATGGCATCTCACACTCACATTCACATATGGTCTGCTTCCGTCCTTACCCGAGTAAGAATAGAACTTTTCGTTACACATTTACGACTCAACTTCGTTGCTGTATGCTATCAATCTTGATTGTTCAACAATGAAAGATCAGAATTTGCAGCCAGAAGTTGCAGATGGAGTTGCTGGACTTTTGAGGTGAGAAGCCGCATAGGCATTGCATTTCTGTCGAATACGTTAGCACGACCGCGAATATTTGAGCATCAACCAGATTATGTAACCAAGGACCGAACGAGTAGAGCCTGGAAGCCTTGCTCTCAAACGAGTAAACTTTGAACAATCAACATATCCTTACCATTTTGCTGAAAAGACTACAAGCTTCATTCATATATTGTCATTCGCGATGACATGCTGCAAGACGACGAGTTCTAGGAGAAGTGAAAAAGATTTATTAAGGTTATGCAAGGTAACGGTACAGTCTTTCTTCAAGATTTCGCCGCTTCTCAACGATCGCACATGCCACCGTATCGACATCACAATAGGCACATTTCGAGACGATTGCCCCCCTAAATCCTTCGATATATCCCCGTTCACGCCAACCAGCTGAACTCTAAATGCAACTTATACCATTGACAATATTAGTCACAGCTCACGAACCATCTTGGAATCGACAATAAGCAACATCTATGGTGGTATGTGGATTTTGTATACCGCGGCACCCAGTATCTATCATCTACCTACATGCCCCTGCGTATGCCGATCCTTCTCTCAAAATAGCGACGAAAGTTTTCTATGTGATGGCTTCAGTTATTGTTCATCCGGTTAGCATGGAAGGCTGAAGGTTGCTTTCTCCCCTCACTAACAGTTGAACCTGCGGATTGATGGAAGTGGCTGATATTTATCGGCATGGGCAGACGACAGGATTAATTGTGAATATGCCATACCTAATGAGTCCTTGATATGCTTGAACGAATTCTCTACACGCAGATCCCGACACCAGCACTTTTGATATCTGCAAGATGTCAAATAGTGGTTGTTATTTTTACAAGGCTGAAGTTGGCACATGTCTTACGTTAAATGCCTCCCTGGATTATGATTAGGTCTTCTTCTGGTCCTATGTCGGTTGGATCTATTTGATTCAAACAAGAATTGGTCTGCACGTATTGGACATTTGACATGGCGGTTGTTTCTGGGTGATTTGAAGCACTCGTTATTCTTGCCCACAAACTGAGTTCTCTCGCAAAGCTCTAACCTTTGACTGCTGTCCCAACAGCGACATCAATCCATGACTCTATGAAGATACTTGGGGTACCAGTCACTTTTGATAGATGCTATCATCATTCACATTCATTACTAGAACGAACCTGCAGAATAATACAAGAACCCAAGAACACCACAATCAAACAACAGCGGAGCGCTCCCAGATTACCGTCTACCATTCGACTACTGGGCTGTTTGTCTTTGCAGAAAGGGTTCGAGAGGGTTAGCTCCTCATCACACGAAGGACGTGGTCTGCATACATTGCTGGGAAATATTCGAGGGTTAGATTCCCTTGAGCCTTGTGCAGCTCTAGCAGAGGCAGGCTCTATATTGGCATCGCCATATTGACGATAATTTCCTTTCCTTTCCCTTGTTATATTTGCGTATCAAACGGATTGTAGATAGAACTATGCATACATTACGTGACTTCGAAATTGTAAACGCGGTTTGGATACCGATGCATGGAACTCGGAAGGAAGGACACAAAGCTCGGTAATCTGCTCTGCTCACTCGGTGTCGGAATCGGACGATTCTTTCAAATCTTTCAACTCTACAGAACAACGAGTGTGCAGTGTTCTTGCTACGAAAGTGGTTATTTTGCACCTCTACGGATTATGGAGTTCCGATGATACGGTGTGGGTTAGGAACACATTATCAGACTCGACTCGATTCAGCACTTAGCAATCACCACCACCACTACCACAACAAATAGGCAAGTCATACAATCAGATATCTAGGTAATGTAACACCAAAATCCCTCCCAATTTTTTATTTCCTCATCGTCTTATACTTCTCAATTGTTTCAAGATTCTCATCATTATTTTCATGGGAAATCATTTCACTATTCAATTCAACTCAACTCTCCTCTCTCAAAGTCTTTTGTGTCGCATTGTATGGTTTGATGCCAATCCATCGACTCAATTCTCGCTAAGCCTAAAGAAGCGCGCCACTTTAGCAAAATCATCGACATTCCCTCAATTATGCCTTCAACTCCACAACCAAAAGAACACCCTCCTGCTCGAGATGCGATCGCGCTCGAGATGAAAGACAGCTGGAGCCCCGGTGACGATCGCAGAGATAGAGGTAGAGTCGACCGAGGAGTTATTGAAAGACGGTCGAGAAGATCAAGGTCTCCCACGTCACGTCGGCCGGACGCCGACAGGACACCCAATACCAGAGATCGCAGTACTGATAGGTCCAGGCCAACACAAGAAGTTGAAAAGCCAGATCGTAGTCCAGGCCGCAGAAGGCCATCGTCTCCGCGGCCATCAAAAGATATACAAGAAGACGTATTGAAGCGCAATCAAGGCAGGGAACTACTATTAGAAACGCGAGGCTCAGAAATAGTAAAAGGAAATACAGTCCATTCTCCTCAACAATTAAAACGAAGAAAGAGTCGCAGCCCATCTCCGAGTCGCAGCCAACAAAAAAAAATCCGAAGGAATTCTCGCAGTCCAGTACGGCACAACGGAGCTACGAAAGGGCCCCGGCGAGATAGGAAGCGACGAAACCGGTCTACATCACAACATCGACATCGACAATCGGAACCAAACAGAAACAATCAACGCGAGGAAGGAAACCCAAGAAATCGTAGAGATTTTGGAAAAACCGATAAGCGTGGGCGATCTCCTGGCCAAAACCGCGATAAATTTGAAAAGTCTCGTCCTTCATCAGCCTTAGACTACGACGATCCACCGACGAACCGTAATCAATCCCCCAACAAAACTGTCGAGCAAGAACAAAAGGACGGAGGAAACCCAGCACCAAATCTATCTGAAAATAAGGAAAGGAAGCGAGACCCTTCCCCATACTCGAGCCGTCGATCACCAGAGGCAGATAAATACGAACATAAAAACCGTGGTCGTCGTCAATCTCCTCGTGCACCGAAAGGGCCAAAGGGAAATCGGAGACGGTCCCCAAAGCGAGAAAAAGGACGACCTTCACGAGACGAATATCGCCCTAGTAATAAATCTCGAGGTCGACCTACATCGGCAGCTTCGGGAGCGAATAGTATCGAGGTCAAATCGGATAAGATGGCTAGCAGAGGATTCTATGGTAATCAGCAAGGGTACAATCCAAACCAACAAATGCAGGCTGCATTTCCTTTAAAACCACAATTCAACCAAGTTCCTCAAGGGCCTCAAGCTGATCCACGGCAATTTTCACAATCTCCACAACATCAAATGACCCCAAATTCATATCATGGTTCACCTCAGGCACAATCACCCTATTCTTCTGGCCGGGGAAATTGGAATGGCTCACAGCAACAACAGTTTTCGCCCTCCTCGTAAGTTTTATCATGTTAGGACTAATAATTTTCCAATCTGACGAGACATGCAGGCAATTTCAACAAAATTACCAGCAACAACCGGAATATGCTACTCCTACTGGCCCACAAGGCCAAATGTATGGCAATCAAGCCCAATCTCCTTCTCATCAAGGGCCTCCCACGGGGCCAATGAACAATAACTTCAGAGGCAACCAACGGAATTTTAGAGCGAACAATTTCAACCCCCGAGGTAGTCGTGGCAACCAGTTCAATCCTCAATGGAATCCTCCTTCTGGTCCCTCCGGCGCCAGTCGCGCCCAGTTCACCAATTCTGGTAATGTTACACCTCAGCAAATGTCACCGCAACAACAGTTCCCACAGCAGAATTCATTTGATTCGGGTCCAATTCCAATGCAGAATCAGGTGGACGAAAGCGAAGACTTATTTAGACCCTCAAAAGACCTTCAGGCTGAGGATACTAGCAAACAGAATGATGAACAAATGCCCCCTCCTAGTCGACCACCGCCAACAGGGCCTCAAAGTCAACAGAACTCCTCAAAGTTTAGTTTTGCTTTCAAAGGTCCAGCTAAAGCGGCAACTACTCCGAAGCCAGAGATTTCTCAAAAGCTCAATGCTGTACCAATCAAGCGAGATATGCAAAATAGCCCTCGTGGCCCTGCAGCGGCACGGAATATTCCTACAGAGCCAGCATCTGCCAGAGCACAACACGCATTCCGCGAACCACCGCCTCCTGTTACGCGTAAGGTCAAGAAGATTATGCAACGTTTGAAGCCAAAGCCACAGTTATTACCCGAATACAAGGCATCAGATTCTGTGTACTATCGAAAACCTGGTAACGAATCTGTGGTAGGATCTGGAACTTACGGTAAAGTGTTCAAAGCTATCCACGTCTACACCAAGAAGTTGGTCGCTCTGAAGAAGATACGCATGGAAGGAGAACGCGACGGGTTTCCTGTGACTGCTGTTCGAGAAATCAAATTGCTACAATCTTTGAACCACCCAAACATCGTCACCTTACAAGAGGTAATGGTGGAGAAGAACGATTGCTTTATGGTTTTCGAGTATCTATCACACGATCTTACGGGCTTGCTCAACCACCCATCCTTCAAGTTAGACGCAGCTCACAAAAAGCACCTTGCTAAGCAGCTTTTCGAGGGTCTTGATTACCTCCATCGACGAGGTGTTTTACATCGGGATATTAAAGCAGCAAATATCCTTGTTAGTGATGAAGGGCAACTGAAATTAGCAGATTTTGGGCTGGCTCGATTTTATGCAAAGCGAAGACAGCTGGACTATACCAATCGTGTGATCACCATCTGGTATCGTTCACCAGAACTTCTCCTTGGAGAGACACAATATGGTCCTGCAGTGGACATTTGGAGCGCAGCCTGTGTCTTGGTTGAAATTTTCACTCGCCACGCAATCTTCCCCGGAGACGGTGGGGAAATCAGTCAACTCGAGAAAATTTATGCTGTGCTCGGAACGCCAAATAGAAATGATTGGCCTGGCTTAGTAGACATGGCATGGTTCGAACTTCTTAGACCTTCTGCTAAACGATCCAATGTCTTTGCAGAAAAATACAAGGAACGCGTTACACCAGCCGCGTTTGAACTTCTAGATGCTATGTTTCAATATGACCCTGCCAAGCGACCTTCTGCTTCTGATGTTCTTGAGCATCCATATTTCACGACGGAAGAGCCAACTGCAAGACAGGCTATCGAGTATGTTATATCCTTCCTTACAACCTTCTTTTATAGGTGATCATTAGCTAACACCATGAAATAGACTGAAAGAACTCAAAGGCGACTGGCATGAATTCGAATCCAAAGCGTTACGCAAAGAGAATGAACGCAAGGATAAAGAGGCACGAAGGGCGGCCCAAAAGGAAAAGGAGAAGAAACGAACTGCAGAAAGTGAACCCTGTTCTGATAGAGACCCAAAGCGAGTAATGATGGCACCCCCAGATATACCACCGCCATCTGCCATTACTAAACCCCAGGAAGTTGCCGCTTCGAGCAACTAGACCGCTTCCACTGCGCTCCAACATAGTAGGGGTGGGATAGTTCACAAAAATTCGCTTGCAGGACTGTACATTTGGAAGGAGCGCTTTTGGCATTCAGGAACCAGGTGGGATAAAGCCTTTGTAAGATTATTTATATTCATAACGTAATGGGACGCGAAATGCTCTTCATGGGATGGGTTTCAGATGAGCAGTCTAGGAGATGAAGGTGGAGTAAGAGCGGGCGTTCGGTGATGAGGAACGGGTAGGAGAAATCCATAATTATCTTCATAACATTGCGCTATGCATTAGGAAAGCGAATTGAATGTCCCTTTCCAGTTTTGTTACTTTCTTTGGGAAGGGGATGAGTTGTGGATGAAGATGGAGATTTCTTGTAGTATAGGTGCGAATGCTACTATATTCAGATATTGCGTCTTGAAGCGCTTCATGTTTGACGTAAGTGACATGTGAGATGACATAATGTCACTTTGAATCCTTCATCTGTTTTATCACAAACAATCATATCAGGTTAAATTCGATTTGAGTAAATCAGTACATTTAGCACTTGACGGTCTTTAGATACATAACATCTCTTCTTCTGTGTCTCTCTCTCGCTGACTACAATTGTGTCTACTCTATCCCACCCTGTGTTATTGATCTCACCCTTTCTTTGCTCATTTCTTTCTCATTACTTCTCTTTTTCCTTTTCTACCTTCCCTCGAGTACATATTTAGCCCTAGGTTTCTCGAATTCTGCTATTGCGCAGGGTCTACTAATTGCATTTTCCTTCCGTCTCTTATCTCTTGCGTTTCTCTTTACTTTGTCTGTTTCTGTTTTATACTATGAGGAGTGGATATACATGATCATACAGTTTCACATAGTGTAATGAGGATAGAGGAGTAATCATTTTGATTTTGTTGTTTCTGTTTATTGTTGTTTTGTAGCAGAGGAAAGACAGTTACTAGGTAGGTAGGTAGGTTATGGAAACGAGGAGAACGAGTGAGATTCTGGGAGAGTGAGGAAGAGTGAGGAAGGAAAAGGGGAAGGCTACACAGTTAAGTAATAAAATTAGGTCGGGGAATAATGGTGTATTAGCTACGAGTATAGTATCTAAGATATTGACGTATCGATTGAAATTCTCGAGGAATTCCAAGCCGAGATAGTGAAAGGTGGAAAGTCGATCTATGTTTTCTAGTAAATGAACTCAGACTTAAAACATGCAAGATTCAAACTAAGCAATAAAATCAAGCAGACAAAGTCGTTTGGTGTTATAATCGCCTATGTGATCGCGGATGAAGCAGAACATAGAACTTTCTAGTCGTACAAACAGCATGTAGGTACATAAAGGTACTCGTATCGGCTGGGTAACTCAACCCAGAGAACAAACACAGGCACGATTCGTCGATTTCTCAATCCTCGAATATTCCTCCAAGGCTGTACTTTATCTGCACAAAACACGCGTTGCATGAATCAAAAACTCAACATTTCGTACTAACAAACCGACGACAGCCGATATCATCACATCTTCAATATCTGTATCTGGAACATCGAAAACAGCTTATACGCAATCATCCTAACACTTACCTTTTATATCCCAATACTAACCTCCCACCACGCAAACCACTACATCTTAGACGACCGCAAAGACCAACCCTTCGTCTCCAAAGCATTGAAAGCCGGCTTCGTATACGAAATAATAAAAAATACTATTTCTCCAAAGAACTTGAGATTATCCGCGGCACGCGGAAATCGTCGATGATTTCCACGCGGCGGGGTTTCTTCCCGGATGAGAAATCGTAGTCAATACGCCTGTGATCTGGAGATATGAGGATAGTGCGCGGAAAAGTGGATAGAAAAGTTTAGTGAAGCCGATGATTGAGAAGGTTGAAAAGTTTAATAGTCATCCTGGGTGGATGGGAAGGGATAATATAATGTGTGAAATGATGTGATGCAGCGTTGAGTCACTTTTTCGTATCATGGTTCTGGGAGATGGGTTTTGTTGTGTGATATGTAGGGGGTTTGTATAGGGATGGGTTGTGAGTATCTTTCTCTTTAATGTTGATGTTTTATTCCTTGCTCGTCTGTCTGTCTCGGTGGAAACTATATCAACGGACATGAAAATCTCCCAACAATCCGTTCAATTAGCATTCTCTCAGACCCAGTCCAGTCATCATATCCCAAGCACATGATTATGGACCCGCGGATCTGGGAAACGATGGAATTAGATCGCTCTTTGAGAGACATCGCTATGGACAATTCTGCGATCGCAATGGGGTGAAGCATGCACTTATGGGAAGAGCTTCTTTACCGATGCGTAAAAGAACTACGATGGAGTGTACCCTGACTCGTCGTGATTGTAATCCTCTATCTAGATGCAGAGAATATTGGTGAGGGCATTGATGGTTGGAGTTGTGATGGGAATGGAATGGCCAATTCATTTGTTTATTTATGCTGGTGCTTCGAAAAATTGCCCGGCGTAATGGGAGTCGTGCAATATGCGAGGTTGCAAAGTAACGCTTGTGGAACCATGATTAGCCGAGAAAATTGAGACTTAGAAAGTAGACCTCCGTTATGTGACTTCAGTGATGGATGGCAAAAATATCGAGTCGCCCCCAACTTATTGATCGGTAACACCTTGCTTTAGGAAAATCGAAAACGACCTCGGGAGTCCCAAGAGTCTTTTGTGGCTCAAACCGGTGCCCTTGAAAACAGGTTTTGGTGTATTGATCAGATGATCGATGAGCACCAATCTTAGTTAGCAAGATTACAAGGAAGATAGTCGGGCACTCTTTCAAAAAGCCTAACCTACCATCTCGCATGAGTTCATGACTTCCTACTTCTCTCCTTGAATTCAAAACACCAATGTGCATGTCTTGGTTAATATCTATCACCTTTCATATCTCACTACCACCGAACTTTGAGACCGGCACAGTATCGGTTGAAAAATGGGAGGACGGCGCAGAGCCATTGAGAGAAAAGCATAATCTTCCTTCCCGTGCTCCTTCCGTCGATTCTTCCGTTTCTCTTACCGTTTTCCCGTGGAAATCCAAGGCACCTACGTGTATACCTGTTGACCCAGCACTTCCCAATCACATACACACCACCAACTATCACCAACAAAACCAAGACTTAACATTGGTCTCCTAGTATCTACCAGCTTCTAAGCACCATACACCCTTGCCATGAAGGTCCCAGCCTCGGAACCAATCCTCTCGTAATATTCAAGCATGTGGAGAATTTTACAATTGAAGTAATTGCGAGATCTGACATTGCACGCCATGAGTCAATCGGGGGCTGATGAGATTAATATAGGCACAGTCATTTCTGATGCTGGAGATCGAATACGGATCTAACTTGTGGAGAGTGGATTGAGGAGCGGACAGAGGCTCCATGTGGATGGAATATCCGCCACGCCAAACTCGAATTCTTTCCAAAGCCAAGAACATTTCGAAATTACATAACAGTATCATACTATATTTCGAACGTTACTAAATGTATCAAAATCATGAGTCATAAGCTCTTTGCACTTTGTTGAGTGGAAATTTTTAAATTTTTGAGAGATTGCTTTGCTAAAGAATTTTGAAAAGGGGCTATTCTCTTGGTGTGTCAGCTTATCATCCCAATAAAGATGGCAACCACCATCTACAGAAACTTAAAGGAGAGCCGTAAGCGATGTTTCACAATGAAGAAATCACCGAAATGCATTGGTTCTGCGTGGTACACGTTGATCTAGTATGCTTTTGCAGAGCTGGAATCGAGTTTTCTCATGATATTCACCTTAAACAAAAGGGGCAGTCCCGAAAATGCGGAATTAGATTTACAGAAACAAAACTCATTGACACGTTAAATTATAATAAATAAGCTCGTGTCTGTTGCTCCCTGACTACCTCAAGCGTGGCTAATGATTGTAGAATCGCTCCAAACTAAAAACCACTCTATAATTACAAGAGAGAACAACAGACACGCAAAAAATCTTTTAATACATGACGAAACACTATAACACAGATTGTGGCTAGTATGATCCTCCTAACTGGGTATCGAAATGGCGAGTGAAAACCCCAATGATTCCGAGGCACAGAAAGAAATGGTCTGGTTGATGGTGGGCGTGAAAGGGCAATAGGGTATTAAATCTCATATCTCATATCTCATATCTCGTAAATCCTGTTTGCTGGTTTCTGGATTCCTGAATGTGCTTCCACCAGAGGGTGCCACTGCTGAGACCCTGAGGTCACTGCCGTGGTCGTGGAAGGAGCGAAACTTGAATGGCCCATGACTGCACTCTCTGGATGGGTATGTGGAGACTTTCGCTGACGAAGGAAGCGCCCCAAAGCAAAAGCTGCGGCGACAATGGAAAAAAATGCAACTACAGAACCAATACCAATTCCTGCCTTGGCACCTACACTTAGCTCGCTAGAAGATTGTGTGCTGACCGGTGCAGAAGAGACTGTTGGCGTTACGAGAATCGAAGAACTTGTCGAGGTGCTTGAGGGCTGATCTGTCGTACTACTCAGGGCAGCGCTTGAGGCATAGGTGGAAGTCGTGGGATCAGTACTGGCTGCGCTTCTCACTGAGGTCGTAGCCACAGCAGATGAAGAAGGGGTCGATACGATGTTATTCTTCCCGGTGATATTGACAAACTGACTTTCGAAAAGATCGGCTGTGCCGCTGTTAAAGATGCCGAAAAAGAAGGCATTCCCCGCGTTCAGGTCGAATTTTGGATTGCCATTGGTACCACTCAGATCAACTTTCCATATGAATTGGGTAAAGCTTATCATCTCTCCTAATGGTCGTGAGCATAGTTAACTAAAATTACCATAGTCAGAGGACATACTCGAGTTTGGAAGATACTGGAACTGTGGCGTCCCGCTTTGCCAAAGAACCAAAGTTGTGTTCTTCCATATGGACTGCCACTGAACAGTGAGCTCGGTACCAATTTCAAAAGACCCCTCGTATTTACGAGGATTGGTCTGGTTGTTAGGAAAGATAAAGTCGTTGACGGTGGCAGCATCGCTTGTAAACGAGCAGGCAAAGAAAACAAGGAGCGATAACCAAATCATAGGAATTCTTAGCACAATTTGATCCGGAAAGTCTGTTGAAGATTACCGTCGTTTGTGTGATAGATTTTTGACTTTAGAGACAAGGAAAAAGAAAAGAAGATGGAAATAGCTTCTGGCGTAGCAGTAGGAGTAAAGGAAATGAATGCTTAGAAGTTGCTGCGATAAAAAAAGAAAACACATAACAGGAAAGAAAATTTGTGTGGCACACCTTGCATAAATGCTCGCGCGAAGCACCTTCAACAATCATACTGTGCTGACGATGCGAATAGTAGTTGAGTTGAACATAGGAATCAATGCAGTGTAAGCGCCCATCCGAGACTTGGGGGTAGTCGATGCATGGACTTCCAAAACGCTTAGCCAACAATCAGCTTATTCATCGGATATCATTGGCCCCAAAAATCTCGGTACCAGAGTGCCGGGACAAGCTACTGGGTAAAATTTGGATGATTGGCTTAGCCGAACCAAGCGATAAACCAGCATCTTCGGGCCGGACTGCCTCTTTAGAAAGGTTATCTCCCTACGCCCTGGCGCCACAATCGCCCTGCTTCAAACAGTACAGTAAGGCGAGAATAGTATCATACATAGGTCAGGGGGCAGGCTCCAAGTTAATAAGTCTACCCGTAGAACCCCAAATATGTTTGTGCTTTCTTCACTTGAATTTATCACACAGAAATCGCTTAGCTCAAATTATATTGAATCCTGGAATATGCTTCGCCAAAAGTCTTTTAGATCTCATACTCCTGTTCTCTTTGTTGTAGTTTTCTTTCTCTTTATCTTAATCTCGGCCAAATATGACTACTTCGTCAACATCGGCTTCAGTGTCCCTTCTGGTCATTCCAAAAGTTGCAATACAAGGCCGATACCTACTGAGCCTTCCAGCACCCAAGTACTTACCTCCGCACCCATATCAACACCTACAGCTGCCGCATTCCCCGAAAAGATATGGTACAAAGTCGGACCACAAGGTGTTTCTGCCGAGGCTGAGAGCTTCAGAAATCATTGTCTCGATCTAAGCCCTTCATACGAATACGAAATTCTCGACGATGAGGCGGCCAGCGAATACGTCTACAAGTGGTTTTCGGATCGACCAGACATCATCACCACATACTTCTCACTCTCCGTGCCGATCCTCAGAGCGGATCTGCTGAGATACTTAATTCTGTGGGCCGAAGGAGGAATGTGGATGGATTTAGATGTTTCGTGCGATGAAGTACCGATACATCGATGGGTGCTGAAAGAATACCGAGGAGTTGCGAATCTTGTTGTCGGGTTGGAATTTGACTGGCCATGGGAGAATGATAACACCCTGCACGCCCAGTTTACGAGTTGGACGATAATGGCAAAGCCTCACTCTCCCCACATGATGCAAGTCATCGATGATATCTTGGTGGGTGTCGACGAGGTAGCACGACAACACAATGTCTCGCTTGATGGTATACAGATGGGTATGACACCTCAGGTGGTAGACCTCACGGGTCCCAAGAGGATGACATGGAGCATTGTGAAGAGTTTGAATCGGATTCTTGAAAGAGAGCTCGACGACCGGGATATTACAGGACTGAGAAGTGCAAAGCTTGTTCACGATGTGCTGATATTACCGGGAAATGCGTTTGCGGCGAGTCAGAGTAACTTTCCAAAGGATCAAGGGCCGGTTCTGGTAACCCATCATTATGCGGGAACATGGAAAAACAAGCTGGGTGGGGAGGAGAGGAAGCCGGCGGTATGAACTGGGGCTTCATATCATGCTTTGGAAACGAAAAACGAGTATATAATAAAGCGGCAATTCGCGGAAGAGGATAAAAGATAGACATCATAGAGAGAGCCACTAACGCCTTCGCTCATACGCGGAAGGAGCTGGACTCTCCGAGAATATTACCTGGAGGATTCTGACGCTCATGTCGAGAGAGGAACCTCATAGCTAGAAGCAAGAAGTTAGCACTAACCTTCTTTTGCTCTTGCTATTAGTTACCTATGCGAGATGGGTATTGGTGTGGGTCGAGATTTCTCTGAGGGAACCCCAGCAGACAGAGCTTGTACATTAGACGTTTCCTTGAGTTTCGCTGTACCAAAATGTAGAAGTGATGATTCGTTTTTCTCAGCCCAAATCGAAGATGCCTACAAGGCTATATCGCTCTTGTGAATGTATTTGTATTAATGAGACTGAATAGCCATCGTAATGTGGTCTGTTAGATAAGCGCAGGCCACACAGGTGGTGCAAAGCATAGCATGGGGTGCAGATCACATGGGTAGTGGCAAATGTCAAACAATGCCTGTATTGAGATAGATATAGGCGATATTATTTGAATCAATAGATATAACAAGTAAAATGCACCTTATTCATAGAGAGCTTGTTTATGACGAGTGATAATTCAAAATAATGATTGTAACTAGTCACATGACTATCTTTTCCCCAAAGGTTCTGTCAAGCCTTGCGGATCGTAACAATAAGCCAAGGCCCTAACTTCATACTAATTGCCCCAAATTAATCAGCAAACATATCATCTTCTACTTAAGAGGAACTCCAATAAGATGGATGTCATCGTTGGCGTTGAAGTTGATTTCTCTGAGCACGATAGACCCATCTGCGCGGGTGGCCTGGATCCAAATACGCTTGCTGAGGAAAATAATACATTCGTATGGTGGAACAGTATATCCCTGTGTACGCGAAGTCTCTTCGTACTCAGTGAAGGAGGAGGAATTGGTCGCTGTAAATTGATAGTTAAGACTAACATCCATGCCGAAACCCTTGATACCAAACGAGGCAGAGATGGATACCCCTGCGGAATGTGTCATCTCCTCCGAGAGGGTTTTACTGACACCCTTTGTGACTGTGGTGGAGTCGTTAATCAAGCCTCCGCTGTCATTGGTGTGCACCGTGTGGGCATACCAAGCAATTTTTCTGGCGAGAGCGCAGAATGGGTAACTGATTGTTCTAAGGCTTGCTGCGTCCGTAGGAGGGAAGAACATGGTGAAAGGAAGCGTGGCTTGGCATTGATCCATTTGGTTGAATACATCACCACTTTTCGGGATATTGGCTTTCGTGAAAGATGGTGCAGGAACATTGAAGTCTTCGAACTTTTTGGGGTTTGGTAGGACGAGAACTTGGGCGAGCCCATTGTTGGGCTCGGACCAGCTGTTATTGGCGCGGAAAGTCTCGGACGAGATTGGGATGTTTTCTCCCCCGTTCACACCGGTAGAAGGAAGACCAATGTCCCACACAGAACAATCTGAGGAAGCTCCCGACTTATGATCATCCCAAACCTTTGCTTTGAAGTAGTTCGAGCCTTGAACTAAATCAGAACGAACGCACCAAATCTTGTCAGTGCTAGGGGCACTCCAAGATCCTACACATACATCTCCAAGTGAGACGTACCCACTCGGTGCTCTGGGTCTCCAGAAAGATCCGTCATGATTGCCTCCGCTCTTCAAGTCACGCCAAATCTGATCGTATCCAGTGGGGCTAGCGACTGCTGCTTTACCGGTAGAATTTGGGTTGTTCCCGACAAGAAGAACAGCATACTTGCCATTCCTGTCACCATAGGAAGAAAACCCAATAGATCCTAGAGGGCGCAAGTTTCCCTGAGATTTCGGGTGGTAGGCTTCAAAGTCCATTGAGGCCCCGCTACCTTTGTCGTTCCAGGCCCAGTCGAAGGCTGAAGTCATGGTGACTCTGAGGTCGCCATAGTCTCGTGTTGCGTTTGGCATGCTGGCTTTGAGAGGTAGCAGATGAACCGAAAAGATATTTTCAAAAGTGAGTATATGAGATTTGATGAAGAACTATACTGAGGGGGGGAGAATGCAGCACTTGTTATACTTTTTCTTTGTACTACTGAGAATATCAATCTTGCTATTGATCTGATGTTGATCTGAATCAAGAAGCGCTCTTCGGCTCTCCACAAAGACTTCCTTGCGTTTCGAATAGCAGTACAAGACTTTTGTATGTGATGTGTCAATGAATCATGGGTGTGATATAATACACAGCAGTGTGCATGACCACCAAGAGACACTGTCTTCACTACGACTAATAGTCGTGAATTCGACATATAAACGATAGCATAAGCCAAGCGGGCATGCCATGAGCCCGATATCACTCATTGCTGCCCAGTTATAGCTGATTTATTTCTTGCATCGTGTTGCAAACTAACAACGGAAATGTCACCGTGAAACAGTACTCAGGAAGTTCCTACGTCGAATCATGTTCTTTTATGCTGCCAACGTTCACAGCCCTCGTAATACGAGGTCGTCTTTTTGGAAGTCACTGCATTCTTCCCAGCTAAAGTTCAATTGTAACTTGGAGCTGCACTGCCGAACATAATACTCAATAGATCAAAGTGCAGTTATCCCTATGATCGTGATCGGTTATTCCCGGGAAAATCATGCTGCAGTTGAGTTGTGTGCTTGAGTATCGGTGTTCAAACTGTTGAGAGGAGTCTTAAGGTGCATGTGTAACGGGATGAAAGATTTTGTGGCTGGCTGGGTTATGGCGAGAGACGATGGTGGGAGTCGTCGAGGATCAAAGACGTGCATTTGTGTATGGTACAACAGATAAAAAGGTTCTTGGCTGTATTATGTGTCGACATTAAAAATACCCAAGAGATCCGATCGGAGCTTCGGAATAATGATTCGATATTGTACATACCTTTTCTTGACAATGTCTTCAAACTTAATTTCATCGACACCTTGCGCCCATCTACAACAATATACATAACTAGTTTCCCCAACTTTTTTTTAAATTAATATTTTTAAAGACAATATTATTAGTCCATAAACAATTGATTATATAAATAATACTATATTAAATTGAGTCAATTCATTAATAAGTATATGTATCAATGAAACTAATCATATACTTTTTATTAATAATAAAATTAGAATTCTATTATATCTACTTGTTTAGATATAACTATAAAGATTTAAATCAAAAATATACTTACTATTAAAGAAATAGAAATCAATCTGAAATATAAGACAAAAATAGCTTCGAACTTTAATACAATAATGTAATGTAGTTTATCATCGAGTGGATTATATCATCGAGTGGGTCATTATAAATACATACAAAATTCGTCTGTGTGTAACCGTGCACTTTCTTCATTTAATAATATCATTTTATAAAATTTGAAATTATGAAATCCAATTATATAAATATTATAGAAATCTAATTTGCTTTTTAAAATTCTAATTAATATAAAAGTTGTTATTAAAATAATATTTTTGTAATGAAAATCGTAATAATTTATGATTTTTATAAAATATAATCTCAATTTTCATATAAAAACTAAATATTTGTATAAGAAATCTTTTCTTATTAATAAATCTTTTTTCTTTTTTAAAAAATATTGATTAATTATTAAAATGTAAATATTAGGAAAAGGCTAATTTTAATGTATTTTGAAGTGGCCCACTCGATGATATGATCTATTCGATGATAAACTACATTAAATAATTAATAGTTATTTAGTATATATTTTAAGAAGATAAATATTTAGAATATATATAGGAGATCCAATATGTATACTTGATAATTGTTACGGGAGCTGCCTCTAGGGTCACGTGGAAGTGTCTAGAGATCTCTCGAGGTGGTTTAGACTAGACTTCAAGTAGGAATTCAATAAGGTTGTAACTGGTTGTAATTCTCGTAACTATAGTATGAAACTAATGATTGATCTTGAGCACGAAGCTCTATATTGTAATGAAACCCATTCCCTTATATAGATCTTCGTCCTACTTGGACAGCTGGGACAGCCGGGCGCTCCTGGAGCGCTGTCGTTCCTGAGCTGTCCATCACGGGACACTAATCCCGTGACTCTTGGTGTCCTAGCTTATTCTTTTGTCCTGGGGCTAATCCCCTGGGACATTACTAATCCTAGTGAAGCCTTCTTGCTTACTGTGTTCTGTCTTTCCTAGGACCTATTGTCCTGGGAACTATGTCCTATGTTTCTAGGGTATCCTATGACTAATACTATATACGTGCCTGAGGCTCTCCTGGGTGCCTAGCGTCCCCCGGTATACTGCAGCTGAATCACCGAGGCTTATAGTACCATTATAGCCTATACGTTGGTGATTCTACAGCCTGTTACTAATCCGTTGTAACAATAATAATATAGATAAAATTATTGTAAAACTCTATAATATTATATTTTTTATATATTAAAATAAAGTTTAAAGTATTTTATATTAATTATATAATATTAATATATACTAATTGATCATCTTGAGAACTATAAAGTATTTAAATTATATTAGAGAAAAATTGAGAGTATAAGTGGTATAAAGAAATAATAAAATTTAATCTCTATAATGAAATAAGACTTAATAAATATTATAGATTGATTTGTATATTTAAATAAAAACAGGAGTAATGAGCGAAATAGAATATATATAAGACTATTTAGAGAATTTTTTTAAATCAATATATCAAAGCTTTTATTTAAAAGAGAGTATATTTTTATATTATTTATATATATACATAATTAAAGAATATATAGCTACTATTACCTTTTATAATATTTGTATTATATAAATATTTAGAATTTTTTATATAGATTAGATTCCATTATCATATAATGTTTATTCTATATCTTATTCTATTCTAAGAATGAAGAATATATTAATTCAGTTATTTATTATACTTTGATAAAATTTATTAAAACAATAGTAAAAACGAAAGGGATAAAAACATAATATTTATGATCTTATTTATGAAATCTAAGTTATATTTATAAAAAAGAATTTTAATAATCTAAAAGAGTTTATATATTAGTATTATAAAAGCAAGTACATAGATTTTAATAACTATTAGAGCCTTTTATTTATAAATTATTAAATAGATTGAAATAGAGTTTGAAGTATAAAAAAAAAGCTAAAGTATATTCTAGAAATGTTAAAATATATATAGTATAATATTAAAAAAAATTATTATTATTATTATCATTATTATTATTAATATTATTAATAATATATTCATTTTAATCTTTTTTTTCCCTTTTTTTTCCCTATTTTTTCTTTCAAATTTTCTATTTAACTTCTATTATATATTATTGTTGTTTTTAATAAATATTAATTAAATCACTTAATACTATTATAATATTAAGAGGACTAATTATAATAATAATAATAATAAAAATTTAATATTATAAGAAAAAATTCATAAATTCTTTATAGTCTTTATATAAGAAAGAATATTATTATAATATAAAACAAAGAATTCTTTACTAAAAAAGAGATTCATTATTATTTCTTCATTTAAAGTTATAATTTATTATTTTAAAAGATTTAAATAATATATGAAAGCTAGTCTAAATATAGAATGATAAATGTAACTATTGGGCAGACTTGGTAAGATGTATATACATAATATGTATGAATAAAAAGATTGTTTTATTTCTGTTTATTCTTTTTGTATAAAAAGGGAATTACTATGTCTATATATGTATACTATCTCTATTTATGTATTTCATATGTATATAAGGTAAAGCGTGATATGTAATATCACGTTGTCGGTCACGTGTTCCGACAGTAACAATAAATTTTCTTTATTAAAAAATTAAATTGAAATTAATAAAGAATATGATTTCAAATCAAATTTATAATACATATGATTTGTATATTAAGTCGACCACCCTACTTTCAGGCCACCCCTGTTTTGGGCCACCCTTTTTGTTACGACGACATCTAACATACCGAGTCACCTGATCAGAAAGTCACGGGATTAGAGATTCCCACTGGATCCCACTGCTCCCACCTGGTGGGACACGATGGGATCAATGGGACAACAAGGAACGAAGGTCTATATAAGGGAATGGGTTTCATTACAATGTAGAGCTTCGTGCTCAAGATCAATCATTAGTTTCATACTATAGTTACGAGAATTGCAACCAGTTACAACCTTATTGAATTCCTACTTGAAGTCTAGTCTAAACCACCTCGAGAGATCTCTAGACACTTCCACGTGACCCTAGAGGCAGCTCCCGTAACACTTTTATACCAAAAATCGCTTTTTTAGCCTATTAATATCTCTATCAATATATAATCTAATTTAATAAAAATTTGAATATATATAATTTAAGCCATTTTAGGTTTATTCTGAAATTTTTAGATTTTTAGGATTTTTCTGTATTAAGATCTAGAGCTTCAAAATATCGATTTTTTAATTTGTATGAGAATTACATATAAATTTAAAACTTTTATAAAACCTTTAATAACTTTTTAACAATAATTATCAAAAGAAAACTGTATATCTTATTGAAAGTTTTGAATTTAAATTTATATAGAAATTCAAAAAAAAATTCAAAAAAATTAACAGATATAGAGATATAATATACAGTGAGCTTAGAGTAGTATAAATAATCCCTGTAATTTTGAGGGTATTCTTTTAAATATCTATTTATAGGAAATCTGTTACAACGGATTAGTAACAGGCTGTAGAATCACTGACTTATAGGCTATAATGATATTATAGGCCTCAGTGATTCAGCTGCAGTATACCGGGGGACACTAGGCACCCAAGGAAAGCCTCAGGCATGTATATAGTATTAGTTATAGAATACACTGAATCATAGGACATGGTTCCTAGGACAGTAGGGTCCTAAGAAGAATAAGCAATACAGGACACAGTAAGCAAGAGAGGTCTTGCTAGGATTAGTAAGCTCCCAAGGGATTAGCCCTAGGACAGGAAATAAGACAGGACGACAAGACTCACGGGA